GCTTCGGAGCGTTACGTGCTGCTGCAGAAGGTCTACGGCTATCTTGAGAATGGCTGGCTCGCCATTCAGCGCAAGCTCCTTCCTGGCCCGCGCATGTACAGTAGCGTGCAGGCCTTCGCCGACGACATGAGCGCGTTGCGCAGCGGCTACGACGAGCACGCCAGCTCGATCACTGCGACCGACGAGGTGCCCGACCCTCTCGCACTCTGCGTTGAACATACCATGCATTCCTGCGAATGTTGCGCTGATCGTGGAGCTCTTTTCCTTCAGTTGCAGGCCTGGTTCGTGGAGACCAAGGAAGCGCTGTGGTCTGACTTTGCCAGACGAGCCACTGGGGAAGAGGAGAAGATCAGGAATCGAGTTACACGTGGTACGAGACTGCAGCGATGCGTTGATCATCTCGTCACGAGAGCAACGTTATACATGGTATATGACCATTACGTTATGTTACGCAGGGGCTGCGATGCTACCCCCGCCTCCGCCGCCTGCAGGCGTGCCTGGCGGACCACCGCCTCCCGCCCCGACAGCGGTTGTTGGGGGCGCAGCAGGGTCTGGAGAAGGCGATGGACGCTCGGCTCTGCTCGGTGCCATCTCTGGCTTCACCAGAGCAGCTCTTAAGAAGGCGGACACCAACGACAAGAGCGGCCTCATCGTACCTGACGCCGCGACTTCCATGTAGCCACGAGTAGGCTGGTATTAATTTCTGTCGACGAGCAAAACAAAATGTAACGTGATGGATGGAGCAACTTCGCAACACGGGGTGGCGCGACAAGGATCGGCGGCGCTGCGGGAGCTGGAGCGAAGCATATCTGCGGCACCACAAAGCAGCAGTGGCAGGGGACTGGGCATCTCGCGGCGCGAATTGAAAGAATTAATCGATCTCGAGCGTAGGATGAAGCCCACCGCATCTTCCAAAGAGGTACCATGCTCCTGGGCGCATCATAATCTACTCTTCAACTCCTTTCTCAATAGCGCTCCACCCAGAGCGATGTGGGCACTGGAGCAGAAGCTGGGATTGAAGGGCTGACTCTCTACGAGGCCCACCGCGAGCCGATGGTGCTGCACGACGAGGACAGCGACCAGACGACGACGATCCAGGTCCGCACGCTTAACGTCGAGCTGACCTGCCCCATCTGTCTGGGCATCATGCGAAACACGATGACGCTGATGGAGTGTCTACACCGCTTCTGCGCCGAGTGCATATCCAAGTGTCTGCGGGTGGGCAAGCGCGAGTGCCCCACCTGCCGCGTCCACTGTTCGTCGCGACGCCAGCTGCGGCCCGATCCCGAGTTCGACGCCCTCATCGC